GTGGGACAGTATTAGAGTAAACGCTAAAGTTCTATCAGCCGACAGTGTACGGGCACAAAGGGTTAAGAAACACTGGCCGAAACTGGTAGCGAAAATTGCGTGTGATCGACAGAGGTCAAAGGCAGTGATCCGGCAAGTCACCGAAGCCAGCTAAGCTAGTGAATGTAACAGCCGTAACAACAACTTAATTCATATCATTTAAAAAGGAAAATATGGCCGTAGGCCTACGGACCCAGACACTGTCCTTCCCCAGCGCCTAAAGTGCTTTTGATCTACTTCGGTTGAACGTATTAACATCTACAGTACAGAAGACAGAATTATTATGAACTCTTCGGACACTGTTAAAACGTACTTAAGCCACCAAACGTTCCGACAGTCCGTGCCAAGAACTTCAGCCACCAACCAGGAGATTCATCGCTCGGTTTCTGAGCCGACTTCTGGTCCATGCATGAACCACTTTGCACCTAAAAATCAACTTTATGTTACCATGCTAATTAACCTTTCAACAACTGCTACGAAACTCAGCAACGGACGTTCAGACGGGCATGTCTAACGAACAGCTCCCCGTTTTCCAGAGGATGAAAAAGAAGAAACTCGCGCATGATTAAACAGTGTTTCAGATTTACAGTCGTTCGCTTAACGGTGCTGCGGTTCACTGTCGAGCAGGTAGCACAAAGACAGAGATACCGGACAGAAGAAGGAATAAGCAAGCTGTCAGTAAAAATCATGAGCCTTCGTTCAGGTGGATAACTGGATATCCCACAGACTCGATTAAGTTGTACGACAGCCAAAAAGGCCGCTATCTATTCGAATATTGATGGCAATGATTACGGGATTGTTGGAACCACACGCAAGATCAGAGCCAAATGGGCATGCTTCAGAACTAACTTCAAGTAACCAGATATATGTCTGATCTTAAAGAAATAGATTAATACGTAATGTTTAAGGGCTTCAAATCGCATACGTTCATACTGTCGATGAACATGCAGTTGAGAGTGAAAACAGGCCGATTTCAATGCCTAGAACTATGACTTCTTACAAGCTGAATATTTTAAACAGCCAGTAACATTCGTTAAGGTAAAAATAAGATAATTTCCAGATCTTCTGCTGAGGAGATTCTAAGTTTGTGGTTAACGTCGCATAAACTCCGTGAAAAATTAAAAGAACTGATTCTGTGTATCAGGAAAGTATCATTTATCTATCGACACTACAGGCATGCGCATGAA